GGCGACCCTACTTGGATTCCTCGGGCACAATCTCAGCATAAAAAGTGATGTCGAAGGCATACTTATCGCCGTGAGAAGCTCCCGAGAACTTCAAAGTGGTGGGTTGAAGGTCGACCTGATTTGAATCTTACCAATGGGACCTCTACTGTAAAGATACCTTCATGTCCTCAACGCCTGAGAGGTCCACAGTGAGCCAGATGTGCTCGTCTCGCTGAGCCCACTTGAGATTAGGTCGGAGAGTGGTAGGAGCTGACATGATTGGAAAGTGGTATCAAATTATCTGAAAATCTTGACACCGGTCAGAAGACCTAATACGATGTAGGAGCCGATCGCGGTGGGCAGGAGTTCGTTAGGCTGTTACGCATTGACACTGGGGAGAGCCTTCGAATGGGAACCCCGTGGAAGCCTCTCGACAACGGCTCTCACGAGGTAGACACTTGCGACGTCGATTCGCGATTTAGTCAAAAAGGCGGAGCGATGCAATTTTTTGAAGCGCACTTTGAGTTTTGCGTATCTTTCGCACGGCGCAAACTATTCATGTACCTCGTAAACTCCACCATGATGATTCTCCCCCTTGTCGGCTATAAGGACGTGACCAGGTGAGGTTTACGGGAGTAGGCTAGGAGGTCTTTGAAGATGAGCACGTATTGGTTGTCGAAAAAGTCTTTAATTGATACCTTTCCTGAGGTCATTGGGAAAGAAGGAAGGCGCGATAGTAATGGATGCTGTGGGGTTCGAACCTGGGTGCATTGGTATAGGGCAGAAGGTTGCCCGCACGGTTAACTCGTTGGTCTAATTCGGTCACGAGGAGAGCCTTCCGAGATGGATTCCAGGCTTTGACGATACCAAATTCTTGAGCGGGAACAGCTGCATGATTCCCATGACGAGGCTGTGTTCGAGGAAGGGCCTGTGGTTTCTCCGGAATTCACTTTCGAGAAGAGGACCCGCTGGTGTCCCCCTTCTTTGTGTAGCACGGGTAGCGTCTGACGATGATGAGGTGCTCGAAATGGTTTAGTCAGTTAATGACATAACCTCACACTACTAATCCTGCTGAGGTCAAATTAGCTTTCTTCTCTCACTAGGTTTTTGTATATAGCACATCTAAAGATGTATACTCTAAGACTAAATTCAGTCTCAGAGTTACTGAAGCCTTTCGGTATTATCTGCATGCTGGCAGGGCCGACTTGGGATCGCTCGAGGCGACCTAGGGGGCTCTGTACTCAAGTTGGTGCCGAGGTCTCTCTCGGAGTGCTGGTGCCATGGTGGGTCTTTGGATGATGACTATGTGTGTCCAGAGGAGCCCGAGAGGGAATGGGAGAGAGGAAAGGTAGGTTTTGGTGTGCTCATGTGGATGTTGGGGAGCTCCTGTGGAACCACGAACTCGAGGAAGGACGGGCAAATGCCTTCAATGAGGACTAGTATTCTGGTGGAAGGATGATACGAGGAAGATGTCTCTTATCTGGATGCCATCGCGTCGCTTGGTCATAGGCTGTTCCGTTTCAGTGTGCCGATCACACAGTGGATCAGCAAATACTCGTGGTCATTACCTAAGGCATTGCCCACCCATGGCCTCATTGCTCATGTTTCCATTATTCTGAGCTGTTGAGTTCATCGGTGATGGTGGTAACTGATCGAAACACTAGTTCTGGAGTCAGTCTTGGGAAGGCGTCCCCATGGAATTCGGTGGCACTCTCTATACGGTGGTACTGAAACCCTTGGCAGTGGTGTTCATAGCCAAGGTGATTACATTAGTCTTGGAGGCTCTATCTATCCTGGCCTTCAGGTTTGCATCAGCACATTGATTGTCACGCTACAGCATTCCTTTGTTCTTGAAGGCATTCACTTTTATACGCGAGAACAGATCTTGCACGCGCTGGGTGTCGGGTGAGGAGCTGGGCTTGATCGTATGGTGTCAATGTTGAGAATAGGTACATCGCCGTGGTTCTCGTACTAGATAGCCGTGTTAACAACGGTCTGATCTCTTTCTTGAATTGCACGACGGTAAGGGAAAGGTAGGGAAGGTTGAGGAGACGATTGCTGTGCTCTCAGGTGCCTTTGGCTTGAGCCGTTGGGAGCCTGTTGGTATTACCCTTTGATCGACGATCAAATGTTCCTTGTGCATCCAAATAACATGTTATCGCCATGCTTAATTACGAGAGTGGCTAGGTTCCTCGTGTTGTGTGTGATACAGTGTGTTGGGGATCGCTTCCTTTGGTAAACGAGACAACTGAGCATTTCTGGCGAAGAGAACAAGAATTCCTTCTGCTCATCACGTGCTTCTATTGACATCAGACGTAGTTATCCGTCCTCACATGGAAAACACTAGGTCGCTTCGCTCCGCTAGGCAGTTTCACGTTGCCCTGTTGAAACGGCTCGGCGTCGAATGAGCTCTCTTTTGCAATCCTGTCCATGATTTGCACTGCACGTTGACTTGGTCTCCGCCGACCCCATTAGTCCCCCTTCAGGCATAGATTGGCTTTGAAAGCTCATGCTTCGTTGGGGTATTAGTGCTCGCATGACGACCGTAGCCATCTTGGCCCAAGATCGTAGTTAGGTTCTTCTCCCTCTATTGGTTTTTCAACCCTCCTGCTCCCAACGATAAGGTAGCGATCTGTCCGCGGAAAAGTCCGGCCCATGTCTTGACAACTAGGTTGGTAATCAGCCGAGTCCGCTACAGTACGTCCCGATGCCGCATGCTCACTGGTGTTAGTAATACCTACGTCACGTATGCTGCCGTGATAATGGTCAGAACATGCTCTTTCACTCCCTGATGGTCCTCAGTGTATTGTAATTTGTGCTGTTTGAACGACGGGTTGTTTGATCGGTTATTGGACGTCATTACAGTTGGGTCCAACACGTTCTATGAAGTTATTACTGCCCCTCCCGTCATGAGAGGTCCATGAGAGTCACCGTATCCCGTCTGTGATCAATCGGTAACTTGCTGGGCCTTTTCGGTAGAGCGCAAGATTCGTTATTTTTTCTTTCCGACTGTCATGGCGACGGTCAACACTGATTTGCATGGCAGTGAGCTCTACGTCCTCTATCATGACTGGACATCCCTGGTCAGTGGTTCAGTCTTTGGTACCATGACTGAGGTCGCGATGGTGTATGCCCAGTAGAGTCTTGGAGCGGCTGTTACTGCTCCCATAGGCGATGCTGCTAGGTCCATTGGAATGCTCGAGACGATTTGCTTCGCTTTCTATGATCCACACCTTATTTCGAAGTCGCTTGAGATCGCGTTTATCTGCTTCGGAGAGGCCGCCGTTGCTGGGATCATGATTGCGTTCAAGTACATGGCCGACGCTGACATTGGACGATGCCATTGCCAATCCAAATGAGGTCATCGGTCCTCTTCCATGCCTCTTCCAGCTGCTCCTCCACCGAGGACAAAACCCAGTCTCTCATCTGCTTCAGTTGAGAGACTAGAGGAGCAAACGAACTTGCCTGAGTGGCCTAATATTTCATCGTTCTACTTGACCTCGGGGTCATCTGTATCGCTGCTGGCTTTGATAATGACATGGGGCTCGTGCATCAGTTGCTTCCGTTATGGCCGGTCATTATGGGTTACTTTTCGGTGGACCCGGGTGTGCATACTCCTCTAATGTCTGTGACCTTTGCGATTTAGAGGATCATTGTTGTCCAAAATCAATGGCGCAGCTGTCTGCTTGAGGCCATATGGCTGCGGTCTGTGCTATCATTGGTACCTTCTGTGTATCTTTCAACGTATTTGGCGGAATCTGAACTAGTAAACGTTTGTTGGGTATGTTCCGAATGTAAAGCTATCGTGTAATTGGCAGTCGCAATGATGACGTTCTCACAACGAGTATCATTGATTTCGCTAGAATGTTGAGTTCTTGTTGTATTGGAGTCGACTACTACGTTACCTCGAATGTATCAAGTCCATTGGGTAACAGAGTTTGCTGCTGACTGTTTCCGGCTGGGGCCGTATGCGGATCCTGATGCAACAGGTGAGTCAGAGTATTTACTCAGATGAAAAAATCAGATGGTGAGTATTAACCCCTGATTCGCTGATTTTTTACTCTGGAGCGAGAAATCAGGATCATCGCGATGATATGTGAATCTCCGAGCTGATTCGCGAATCTAAAGTTGATTTTTTGGCTGATTAATACTCTTACTCAATATGCCTTGCTCATGAGGCTGATTTTTCGGGTGATTCCATTAAATCTGAGTATTTTCGAGAATCAGGGAATCAGAGATTGGATCAGACATTTTTGACAAGACGAAGAATATAGTCGCTACGCCCCACATCCGAAAGTGACATTTTCAAGAAAGGAGGAAAATGTGACTTTGCGAGGGTAGAACCTGGTAAATTCGCCCCAAATTCATGAGCATTTCCCGTTCCGCTATAACAATGACAAAATTGTGAAAGAAGATCTTTTGTCGCACGTGTACACATCCGTACTTCAAACTTTTCAATATGTTCACTCGGAATCCGACAATCCCTCAAGAGGATCGATGAAGGGCATTTATTGTTTTTATGAATAATTGATTGAATTAAGGATGCGTAATTCACACCGTGTGGTTGCATGTACTACGTGCGCTAAACCTCCATCCACCGTTATGTATCGTGTGATCC